TTAGTGCCATTGTATTGCCTGTAAGGTGACTGTTACTGTATATTGTCTGTGTTCCTTTCTGATCTATGCTGCTTTTAGGCTCTCTTTTTGCTCAGAGTACCTCTTTCAATATTTCTTGTAGGGCTGGTTTTGTGTTTGCAAATTCCTTTAGTTTTTGTTTGTCCTGGAAGCTTTTTATCTCTCCTATTTTCAATGGTAGCCTAGCTGGATATAGTATTCTTGGCTGCATATTTTTCTCGTTTAGTGCTCTGAAGATATCATGCCTGTCCTTTCTGGCCTGCCAGGGCTCTGTGGATAGGTCTGTTGCCAATCTAATGTTTCTACCATTGTAGGTTACATATCTCTTCTCCCGAGCTGCTTTCAGGATTTTCTCTTTGTCTCTGAGACTCGTAAGTTTTCCTATTAGATGTCGGGGTGTTGACCTATTTTTATTGATTTTGAGAGGGGTTCTCTGTGCCTCCTGGATTTTGATGCCTGTTTCCTTCCCCACATTAGGGAAGTTCTCTGCTATTATTTGCTCCAATATACCTTCTGCCCCTCTCTCTCTTTCTTCTTCTTCTGGGTCCCAATTATTCTAATGTTGTTTCGTCTTATTGTATCGCTTATCTCTCGAATTCTGCCCCCATGATCCTGTAGTTGTTTCTCTCTCTTTTTCTCGGCCTCTTTATTTTCCATCATTTGGTCTTCTATATTGCTGATTCTTTTTTCTGCCTCATTTATCCTAGCAGTTAGTGCCCCCATTTTTGATTACACCTCATCAATAGCCTTTTTGATTTCGACTTGGTTAGATTTTAGTTCTTTTATTTCTCCAGAAAGGGTTTCTCTAATAACTTCCACGCTTTTTTCAAGCCCAGCTAGTATCTTTAAAGTCATGACTCTGAACTCTAGGTCCGACATCGTACTAATGTCCGTATTGAGTAGGTCCCTGGCTGATGGTACTACCTCTTGTTCTTTATGCTGAGGTGATTTTTTTCATCTTGTCATTTTGTCCAGAGGAGACTAGATGAATGAGAGAACAAAATGCTAACAGGTTTACAACGTCCCCAGCAAATATACTGTATACAAATCAGAAAAGACCTGAAACCAGGGGAAAAGAAAGGGAAAGAAAGAAGAGAGGAAAAAAAAAAAGGAAAAAGAAAAAGATAAAAACAAAAAAAAACAGAATATGATCAAATATGATCAGGCTAGTGCATAGATCAGTGCCACACACTAGCTTTTGGGCATATTTTGGTCTGTTAGAAGAAAGTGCCTGCTAAAATTTTAAAGGAAGAAAGACTTATATATGTACAAAATAAGGGTTGATACAATGAAGGGATGGCAGATGACTGTAAAGATGAAAATTATAAAAGACTTTATAAAAGGAATTGATAAAATAAGAAGTTGTTTTTTAAAAAGAAAGAAGAAGATTTAAAAAGAAAAAAAAAAAGGGGAGAGAATGTGATCAGGCAGGAGAATAGAACAAAGCCATACACTAGTGATTTAGGGTATATTTTAATCTATTAGAAGAAATTGTGTCTCAAAATTTTAAAGAGAGAACAACTTATATATATATGGCAAAAATAAGGGTAACTACTATGAAGGGATAAAAATATGACTCTAAAAATGAAAAATAAATGTTTTTTAAAAAAGGGATTGATAAGATGTTTGAAAAAGGGAAAAAAGAAAAATTCAAAAAAAGCAGTTAAAAAAATTAACTTTGAAAAACTAATGAATTATGGTAAAAAAAGCCATGAGTTCTATGTGCAGTATTCCCCTAGCGCTGGAGTTCTCCCGTTCTCCTTGATCGGTAAACTTGGTCTTGGCTTGCTGGCTGTTCGTGCTGATCTTCTGGGGGAGGGTCCTGTTGCCGTGGTTCCCAAATATCTTTGCCGGAGGCGGAATTGCCCCGCCCTTGTCGGTCCGGGCTAAGCAAGCTGCTCGGGTTTGCTCTCAGGAGCTTTTGTTCCCTGCAAGTTCTCGGCACAGTTTTGGAGGACCAGGGTGAAAATGGTGGCCTCCCAATCTCCGCCCGGAGGAGCTGAGAACTCGGGGCCCCGCTCCTCAGTGCGCCCCCAGAGAAAAGCAGTCATTTCATCTCCCCGGTCTCCGGCCGCTCTCCGTGCTCACCCGGCCTGTGACCGAGCGTTGCTATCTCTGGCACCCGACCCCGTGCAGAGTCTCCAAACCCAGCAGATCCCTGCAGTGCGCTCCCGCACCGCTCCTCCCCGGGGGAAGGAAGGGGAGTCTCCCCGGCTCTGCCGCTTGTTGGGTCCCTGCTGGGGGAGCAGTGGCCCGACTGGGCCGCGGATCACAGTTTATGGCCACCCCGAGCTGAGCGCCCGCGCCTCCGCTCCGTCTCTGCAGCCGGCTTCCCGGCTCCGATCCCTGGGAGCTCTGCTGCACTCAGGCACCCCCGGTCTTTCTGTGACCCCGAGGGTCCTGAGACCACACTGTCCCATGAGGGTTCCACCCCCCGCTTAGCCGCTGGAGCGACGTCCCAACGCGGAGCCGACTTCTCAAAGGTCTGATTTTGTGCTCCGCGGCTCTAGCACTTGCCAGAAGCGGCTGGTGGAGGCCCCCTCCCCCGCCGTCTATCCTCCCGAATATCGCCTCGGATTCACTTCTCCTCACGTCCTACCTTCCAGAAAGTGGTCGCTTCTCTGTTCAGAGTGTTGTTACTATTCTTCTCTTCGATCTCCTGTTGAGTTCGTAGGTGTTCAGAATGGTTTGATCCCTCTTCAGCTGAATTCCTGAGACCAGACGAAATCCAGGTCTCCTACTCCTCTGCCAGCTTGCTCCACCTATCTATCCCTTGGTTTCTTTGGAGAGTCTGGCCCCAATTTGGGTATAACAAGAAGGATGAGCGGAGGAGCCTGCCTCCACCTTCCCTTGCACAGCAGCCCTGCAGAAAACCTGTGGGTCTCGTGCCAGAGGGCAGCCTCCCTCCATCCTTGACTCAGCTCAGGATGACCTATTTCTCTTCTGAGCCTAGGACCCCTGCCATCCTTAGAATCCTCCCCCGTGGGTGCTGGTTCCCCTGGGTCACCTCAGGGCTGCACTCTCTCTGGGCATTCCATGCATGCCTGTCCAGGTGGCACCAGGCCCTCACCATGGCAGATGTGTATATTTCTACATTACTTAACTGTTGCACTTGTGTTGCTTTTATTTCAAACTTCCCTGGCCAAGTCATTTGCAGAGACGGCCCCATGATGCTTCTGCTCACAGTCAGGATGGGCTGTGGAGGCTGCCTTCACTTTCACTCATTGAGGGCTCATCAGCCTGTATCAGGTGGAGGGAAGACAGGAAACGAGGGCCAGGGAAAGGCTCCAACAGGTGCATTGGGTTCCTGGGGAGCCTTTGGGCTGTCTCCTGTGGAAGAGCAGTTCAGTGCTTGCAGCAGCTAGGTGTGAAGAAGGGAAAAACAAACAGCAAAGAAGTAACCCTCTCCGTGTTTAGAATTTTCCTTTCTGTTGGGTTCTTTGTAACATAGTTTTCAATAATACCTTTCCTAATAGCTTTATATACAGGTTTCTGCCCACCCTCCCTCCCCAAATGTCTTGAGGCCTGCAGAAGATGCTTATCTAGCCCCCATGTGTAGGGGTTGGGGGGAATGTGGGGCACTCAGGGAAAGCTCTCCTGGGGACACATTTTTCCTCTGGCTTACAGGAGAGGTGAGTGGTGAAGGGTGTGCATGTGTTGGGAGGCCACACTTGAGGTGTAAAGAAGCATGTGCATGAGCCCTGACTAGAGGGCATGGCCCTCTAGAGCTGTGGTGGGAAGCCCAGTGTGGTAGAGTGTAAGGGGTGGTACCCTTCAGACTCTCCTGCCCACCACCCACATCCAAGTAGGCCTCAAACTTGAGCAAAAGGTCACTTTATGTGAGGTCAGGGGAGAGATCTCGGGGTTGGGGGGGCAAAAATAGTTTTATATATAGAAGAAAATATGAGGTTTTATATAAGTGGGATGTGGGGAGAGACACTGCTTTCCCTCCACATTAAAAATAGTTTTACACTTTTTAGTGAGTATAAAAACTGATAATGGTATAAATTATCCTGAAAACAGATTTTGAGGCATGAAGGTATCTAGTGAACATTTCATTACCAGTTGATAAATGGTTCTATCAGATTCAACAATCCCCTTTATAACAAATATCTGATAATATCCCCATTATTATTTTTTTTAAAGATTGTATTTATTTATTTGACAGAGAGAGAGACAGCGAGAGAGGGAACACAAGCAGAGGGAGTAGGAGAGGCAGAAGCAGGCTTCCTGCTGAGCAGGGAGCCCGATGCGGGACTCGATCCCAGGATCCTGGGATCACGACCTGAGCCGAAGGCAGACGCTTAACCACTGAGCCACCCAGGCGCCCTGAATATCCCCATTATGATTGTGAAGTGAATCACACTCTCAATGAAAATAATATGCTCAGACTATAATTTTAGGAGAAAATTTTTATGGCATGGTTTTATGGTATGTTTTTGAGTATACTTCTCAACTCACCTGGTTGCTGCATTCCTGGAAAATAGAGTGTATATTAAAATGCTATAAAACCAGGAGCACCTGGGTGGCTCAGTCGGTTGTATGCGTCTGACGCTTAATCTCAGCTCAGGTCTTGATTCTCAGGGTCGTGAGTTCAGGCCCCTTGTTGGGATCCACACTGTAAAAAAAAGAAAGAAAGAAAAGAAAAGAAATACTATAAAACCATCTCTTGTTTATGTAGTAAACGAGAACGAGTCCCCGGCCTCATGTCATTATGAACAGCTTTGGATGTATGTCTGTTGGGGCCTGAGGGACTCCTGCACAGTACAGGACCAGACCCAATCAATGACATGCTTACAGCCCCCAGTGGTCATGGCAACCAAAAATGTCCCCTGGGAACTATGTCCCCGCTGAGAACCGTGGTCCGAAGGTCTTCCTTGAACAGCAAGTTACTGTCGTTAGCTACTGATGTTACAGATTAGAATCTTAGAGCTTGCTGTGAAAACTATTTTCTCTGACTGTTTCCTGTCATTTATTTTCAGGCACATGGACTCCATTTAATCCAGTGACTGTCAGGTCAATCATATGTAAGTAAAGGTGCAGGCAGACTCCTGTCCTGCTTGGATGCAGGTTGTGCTTTCTGCCTTGCCCCCTCACCCTGCCCTCCTGGCCGAGCACTTCAGCTTGAGTTCCCGGTTCTGAAGAGTTCATGTACATACAGGACCAGCACGTTTCACATACCGTCCATATCTTGCATGGTTGTTGACTGGCGGAAACACTGATGCTCAGTTTCTGACCTGATTTTTCCCTTACGTGAGCTTTCACTGAATTACAGTGTACTTCTGAGCAACCAAGAGCACTCCTGTTTCAGTCTTATACTGGCTTCTTTACGTGAAAGGGACCAAGTGATTTGTCATTTTCTTGGTAGCAGAAGTACAGACAGTTTTTGTATGTTTTTCGCCATTTTGCCATTATATGTAAATGCAGTTATAGATTCTTTCATATTTGGACCTGGAATTAGGCTCATTTTTTTTTCTTTTTCAAAGATTGATTGATGTATGTATGTATGTATTTATTTGGGGGAGAGAGAGAGAAGGAGAGAAGCAGACTCTCCGCTGAGTGCGGAGCTCAACACGGCTAGATCCCATGACCCTGAGATCATGACCTGAGCTGAAATCAAGAGTTGGGAGGCTTAACCGACTGAGCCATCCAGGCACCCTTAGGCTGATTTTTTTAACGAAAAGCAGGTCTTACTGAAAAAAACTAAAATCTAAAGTGAGTAGAGTCTTTTTCTCACTGAAGGTGGCTACTTCACTCTGAACCTCCATTTCTTCCTGACAAAGCAAGAGCACCCTCCAGGCATCGTGTTTCTGTAGAGGCTACTTCCTTGTCAAGTATTATTTCTGTTGTGTCTCTGCGGGTGTGTTTTCTTGCACTTTCTTTACTGTGTGCCTCGTGTCTGTCTCAGGTGGTTTAGGGGCTGTGGCTGGGTAACCACCCAGCAGAGGAGATCCAGCCCTCCCATCAACGAATGAGCATTTCTTAGCAACACTTGGGCATCTGCTGACTAAGCACGGGGCTGGCCCTGAGAGAAGCGTGGGAGTGGCTGTGCTGGGATTGAGCTGCTTGCCAACTAACCTTGAGATACCAGCTACTGTGTACCACTCACGTTCCTTTCTGTCTCAGCCATGTTTGACCGGGAGAACAAGGCTGGCGTGAACTTCAGTGAGTTCACTGGCGTCTGGAAGTACATCACAGACTGGCAGAACGTCTTCCGCACCTATGACAGGGACAACTCTGGGATGATTGACAAGAACGAGCTCAAGCAAGCACTCTCAGGTTTTGGTAATTCACTTATCTTGATTGTGTAGCATATTTCATTTTGGAGGCCATTTTGATGTCATTAACTTTTTTTACTTTGGTCAATTTATTGATTTTTTTTGAGAGTGGGGGAGGGGCAGAGGGCGAGGGAGAGCAAAATCTTAAGCAGGCTCCACACCCAGCGCAGAGACTGACTTGGGGATCATTCCCACTACCCTGAGATCATGACCTGAGATGAAATCAAGAGTCGGATGCTTAACCCACTGAGCTACCCAGATGCCCTTCAATTTACTGATTTTTTTTAACTATGAAATTTTTGTTGACATCATACTGATTTATACTTTGATATTATTTATATCATGAAGGCTTATATTTGACTTGGAGACTTTATGTGTTTTTTTCCATCCAAAATGAGATACGGGCTATGCAATCGTTTATCATTTGTGAAATGGAGTGATGTGACATGCACATTGAGAATGTGACGGCTTTGGAAACAGTTTCACGTGAATAAGGGAAAATAAAATGTCTGGCAGCTTATAATTCATGATACATCACAACACACAGCAAGATGATCAGATACTTGTAGGAGATGATTCTGTAAGTGGCAATACCAGTTGCTTGCCTCAGGCACAGCGTTGCTAGGCGTTCAGGCTCCCATTCTCAAGTGCATGTCAGCCCAGGTGTGCCGTGCCACCAGGAGTGTCTGCCCAGCCTTTCCAGGGTGGGTCAGTGGGCCTTCTGATGCTGGTGTGTGGGTCTGAGAGGGAGTTGGGGTTTTGTGTGTGTGGAGGGAACACTTACATGGAAGACTTGTCCAAGGCTTGTGGGAGTTACACCCAGATTCTGGTGTGTTTGGGATGATCTCACTCAGCCCTCTGGTTACTGGGGCCCTATTACAAAACTCCTGCTACATTTTGCTTGAAAGACTGCTTATGAATACCGTCTAGAAAAAAAATCAGGCAAGTTAGTTTCTAATGTACTATTTTTTCTGTAATGTACTATGTTATTATAATGTACTAATGAACTTGTAGGTATTTTGAGCTTTAGTAATACAAAGTACATCTTAATTCTCATGTTGACGTGTTGTTAACTTCTGCCCCTTCTCCCCTTTTTCCTTTGGGCATGCACTTTATGACTGTCTCCTCTTTCTCTTTCTTTCCTTATGAATTCCTGTGATGTCCAGCTAGAGGTTCTGGGACTCCACAGGAAGTTTGTGTTCTCAACTCACTCACTAAGTGTGGGTCGAGATTAGGGCAGGACTTGACCTCAGGTTCTCTGCGTTGAGACTGGGAACCCAGCTGACTTTGCTCTGCCCTTAGACTGGGGAACGGGTAGGGCCGTATGGAAGGGATGGTGGCAGCACTTTACAGAGAGTGGTCCTGGGGCTGGAAGGAGCTGGAGGCCTGACTGGGCCGAGGACCGCTTGGGAGGAACCTGGGTCCTGTGAATTACATCCAGACAAGTGACCTCAGGTGTCAGGGAACACGGTACTTTCTAATGTTGTCAGGCCCAGAGCCCTCTCTTTCCTTCGTGCCAGTGGCCCATTGGGTCCTTAGAGCCCACGGTGGGAGCTCTGAGGTGGGCAGTGCCCTGGCCTCTCTGGCCTCCGAGTCCCTGCTATGGCTTCAGGGTCGTGGAGGTCATGTGGCAGTCGCTTGTGGTCAGGAGCTAGTTGACGCTGGGCCCCTACCTGACTTCCAGATGTTTTCTGGAGAAAGTAAATACTCTGCTACAGCATTTCGTTAGTTGTTCTAACAAGTCTGTTCCTGTGATTGGTTCTGATTTCTGAGGCCTTCTACCAAAAAGGGACATTGTTATCCTTTTCACATATTAATGATTTTAGAAGATTTTCAGTAGTAACTGAAGCAAAGATTCCTGTTCAGCCCTGACTGCACTGGGTCACTCTCCCAGGCCCACCTGCCAGCTAGGATAGCTCACGTAGTCCTTTTTTAAAGTCACGGCTAATATGCGCTGTGCACCAGGTAGAGAGAGCTGGAAGTAAGGAAGTGTATGAGGAGTTCACCCCACACAGTGCAGTACCCCCTTGGTGGGGAAGGTCGTCAGGTACGGGCAGCTCCCTTTCCCTCCACCCCCTCTCCCTCCACCAGCTCAGTGCTTTCTGATGAAATGTTATCAAAATGTAGGGCCCTCCATTCAGTTGTCACTCATCTCAGCCATTACCAACGTGGTGCTACATTTGCTTTGTCCTCTGTTGTGTCCCAGCGTCAACTAGCTCCTGACCACAAGCGACTGCCACATGACCTCCACGACCCTGAAGCCATAGCAGACCTGTGCAGTGTTAGCCCAACATGCTTTATTCTGCGTCCCTGGAAGGTGTGGATGTTTGCTCACCAAATCAGTGCCGTGGACCCACCCTAAAAATTAGTAGCTCATTTGCGTTAGGGTCCCAGCAGGTCCTCAAGCAGCCCCCACCCTTTTCATGCCATTGGCTGGTTATAGACACGGGTTGGTGCCCTGTTCCAGGTCTGTCCCTTGGAGAGTAGTTACTGGTTAGCATCCAGGTTTGTGAAGATGTGCTGTCATAGGGGGGTGCTGGGAATAGGCGGTTGGTGACTCGTGGGATCTTCCAGCCCCAGGACCACTCTATAGAGGGCTGCCACCGTCCCTCCCATACAACTAACAGTCCTGTGCGTGTTAGTTGTCAGGAGAGAACCTCACTCTCCTAAGGTCAGGGTGTGGCCCTGTGGCCAGCACCTCAGGTCCAACAGGGGCTAATGCTGACCAGGGTCACAAGCCAGGGGAGCTGCACACAGAGGGCACCTCTTTTTCTTTTTTCCATTTAAATGAAGTATAGTTGACGTAAATGTTATGTTAGTTTCAGGCATACAACATAGAGATTCGACTGCGCTCTCCATTACTCAGCGCTCACCACGACTATGTAGTTGCCATCTTTCACCAAATAGCGTTGTCACAGAATTATTTTTTTTTTAAAGATTTTATTTATTTGACAGAGAGAGACACAGCGAGGGAGGGAACACAAGCAGGGGGAGTGGGAGAGGGAGAAGCAGGCTTCCCGCCGAGCAGGGAGCCTGACGAGGGGCTTGATCCCAGGACCCCGGGACCATGACCTGAGCCGAAGGCAGACGCTCAACGACTGAGCACCCAGGCGCCCCCGTCACAGTATTATTGACTCTGTTCCCTAGGCTGTACTTTTCATCCCTGGACTTACTATCTTATAATCTGAGGTTTGTACTTCTTAATCCCCTTCACCGATTTCACCCATCCCCCTACCCCCTCCTCTCTGGCCACCACCGGTTCTCTGTACTTACGAGTCTGTTTCTGTTTTATTTGTTCATTTGTTTTATTTTTAGATTCCACACATAAGTGAAATTGTCTGGTATTTGTCTTTCTCTGACTTAATTCATTTAGCATAATGCACTCTAGGTCCATCCATATTGTCACCAGTGGCAAAGTCTCATCCTTTTTTACGGCTGTCTAATATTCCGGTGCGTGTGTGCACTACCTCTTTATCCATCCATCAGTCCGTTACTTGGGCTGCTTCCATATCCTGGCTATTGTAGATAATGCTGCAGTGCCCGTGGGGTTGCAGATATCTTTTCATATCAGTGTGTTTGTTTTCTTTGGGTAAATACCCAGTAGTGCGATTATTGGATCATGTGGTAGCTATTTTTAACTTTTTGAGGAACATCCATACTGATTCCAAGGGTGGCTGCACCAGCCCACATTGCCACCAACAGTGCACGAGGGTTTCTTGTCTCCACATCCTTGCCAACATGTAGCATTTCTAGTCTTTTTGATACCAGCCCTTCTGACAGGTGTGAGCCACCTCATTGTGGTTTTGATTTGCATTTCCAGGGGGCCCATCCTCTTAATTTATGAGGGTGGGGTTATCGTGACATGGATTTTCACTGAAGGAAATTCTTAGAGAAGAGTCTGCTCTCAGATTTTGCTTCTTATGTAAATGTTTCTTTTATGGTCTGTTCATCATTCATTTTTCTAGTCTGACTTCTGTTGGTTTTGTTCTCGCTACAATAATATTGAGGACTGGGGAAATTGGGAGCTAATCCCAGGGATGATAGAACTTGCTTACATGGTCTGCAGAGATTGTGGAGAGCCATCCTGTATGTTTATGTCTGGGCGGGAGACTGCCACAGTGATGGCTATCATCTGCGATCTACGCCTCGGATGAGCTCAGCCCTTACCAGCCTGGGCCTGTTCCTTACCTGTCCACAGGCACAGGTGCCAGGTGTGAGGAGAGGAGACTCAGAGGGGCTGGGGGTGTGACCCCCATCCAGGACCTGTTGTCTTTTTTTTTTTTTTAAGTCAGGGATCCTGTCTTCTACTCAGCTGGCAGGGAAGGGGGCCCTGGATTTAAGTCACAGATGGATAGAGTATGCTGACCACTCTGGAAGGTACTGTCATGTGTGTGCATGTTTGAATCTTTTTTTTAGAAAAGTTAGTGTTTCTACAAGTTATTAACTATGAAATTCACTCAGGTGATATATCCTCACAATGATTCCAACAGGATGGAAAACCACTAAAAATGGCCCCTGGATCTTGTCTCCTGAATAAATAAGGACACCACAGTCACACAGGTAGTGGGTTTAGGAGGGAAGTAGGTATCCTTGTTTAGAGTGGCCTCAAGGGGTGTCCCACAGGCGAGTGGCCGCTGTGTCCCCGCGTCTTCAGAACCACCTCCCTGCTGGAGACCTTTCCAAGACATTCATTAAGTTGAAGGTGGCATCAGGGACTCTTTGTCATAACATTTGTTCAGTCTGAAGAGAAACCATTTGATGACCCTTGAGTGGTTGTGAACTTTACGAGGCTGCCTTGCTCCTTGTAATCTTTCATTTCCTAATGTCGGTGTGCTGATTTATTGAGGGGAGTACCCATCAATGAATCTGCTACTTCCCTGCCTTTACATTTTTTTTATTTGGAAGCCTTCAGTGATATAATCTTTCAGATGCAAAATGAAACCACTTGTAAAACGAAAACTTCACAACAAAGCTGGGCTGCCCTATGGGGTGATTTTTGGGGTGCAGCACTATGGGGTGAGTATACTTGATGTGAATGAGTGGGCTCACATTAATGACCTGCTGCGCCTGGCAGCGCTGGCCTCCGAGTAACACTCACCCTTCCAGAAAGAGGGGGTGGTCTTCGTGTTGGCCATTCATGGGACTGTAGGCGGGGCGCATAGCAGAATGATGGCTTCGTTCCCAGAGTGCATGTGAATGATTTTGCGCCTTGAGTCTCCCACCCCAGCCTCAGTCATTTGTTATCACCTGATGTCAGAGGCTATGGGGCCTTTTGGAAGGAGGACGTGGATGTTGATGGGAATGTCCACTCTCCTAGCCCTCTGTTCATCCTCATTCTCCTCTTCAAGGGTACCGGCTCTCTGACCAGTTTCACGACATCCTCATTCGCAAGTTCGACAGACAAGGACGGGGGCAGATCGCATTTGACGACTTCATCCAGGGCTGCATCGTCTTGCAGGTAATGGGGGTTCCATGGGGGCTCACCATGAGTGGAGCGGTGGAGCAGGCAGGGAGTATCCTCGAAAGCAGAGGAAGAGGGAGGTGCCATTCTGGAATTAGCGGTTTAATAGAGTAAAGTCAGTTTCCGGGGCTTATAAAAGTTAGTCTTGTCTGTGGAGAGGTGTTACTCTGTTATACGGAGGTGTGGCCCGTAGTGCTCTTTCTCCCTGTGGAAATACCGCTGACCCTTGAACAGCACACGGCCCAACTATGCAGGTCATTCATAGGCAGACTTTTTTTTGATAGGTACGGTATAGTGCTGAAAATGTATTTTCCTTACAATTTTCTTAACATTTTTTTTCTAGCTTACTTTACTGTAAGAATATGTACATAATACATACAACGTACAAAGTAAGTGTTCATTGACTGTTAATTGGTAAGACTCTTGGTCAACAGTAAGCTGTTAGTAGTTACATTTTGGGGCATCACAGTTGTATGTGGATTTTGACTGCTCCAGGGTTCATTGCCCCTAACGCTGCGTTCAAGGGTCGGCTGTATTATAGAGCAGTCCCTTCAAATGAGATCGTGTTTTCTAAATCGAGTGGGTTATTTACATGTATACTCTGGTATTTTTGTTGTATTTTCATTCTGAGGAAATGGGTAGATTTTCCGTTGTGATCTTTACTGTGCCCTGCCTTTCTGTGTGAGGGAAGTTCCAAGACAGGACCTGGCGCCTCATTCGGGTGTCAGAGCCAAGCAGCTTTGGGTGGAGCTCGTGAATCCCGCTGACCCCGGCACCTCACATCTCCCTCCTACGGCCTTGCTCCTTTACCTCTGAGAGAGACAAGTGCAGACCTTGAGCGTCCTTTCCAGAGACAGAGGGCAGGAGTAATCGAGCCTGCCCTGCTGTGCCCACACAGGCCCCCCTGCTCCTGTCTCTAGGTAGGGATCGGTTACCTAGATTTAAGCTTAGACATGCAGTGAACTGATAAACCCTTAGATAGCTTTCAGAGTTTTTATTATGACAAATTAAAAAGAGACAAAAGAATGATGGACTCGTGTGCCCATCTCTCAGATTCAGCAGTTTACCAGCTGGTGGACAGTTTGATGTCATACCTCCATGATCCTAACACCCCCCAGCCCTTAACTCTGACACAGATTCCATTTGTGGAAGGCAGATGTTTTTTTCATGAAGAGAAGTCCTTGTAGTTTGAATCTAGGTTGGGGTTACATCTTGTCAGCTTTAGTGTCCACTGGAATTTTGAGAAACATTCTTGGGTTTTTTTCCCATTAGAATGCTAGGTCAGTAAAAGTGAAATTTCTGTGGCCTGCTAAATACAGTGAGTCTGGGAAAAGCCCAGTCCCTGTTGTTCAAGGCCTCATTGGAGAGCCAGGTCTGTTAACATTTGCGTCTTGGCTCTCTGAAATGGGGAGAGCCTTACCCCATCTCATCCCACCCCATTGGCAGTGTCATCTGAACACTTTAGAAAAAGACGTAAAAGTCTCATCATTGTCTGCATCTAAATTACTCTAAGGTTAGGGTTTTCATTTGAGGTTATGTCCCGTAAGTAAACATCTGATCCTTTCTTCTTAAGCAAAGGTCATCGAGTGTAGGCTTTCTTTAGCTGAGGTAACGTGATCTGAGTCCCATGAGAAGCTTGCCCAGTGCCTCCGCACACCCTCTAGGCTGAGGACAGGCCAGCCAGGAGGAGTCTGTCTTGCAGCAGCCGCTGCCCCCTGGCTCCATGCTGAGCTGGAGGCCTGATTGCCAGTCCCTGGTCCCACCCACCCTTCCCAAGTGACTCTAAACACTGGACAGAGGTGGGGAATGTAAACGAAAAGCTGCAGGCCACAGGTAAAATATCCTCAAAAATGTTTTCCTTCATCTGCCTTTCTACAAAAAGAGACAGGCTTTTTAAAAATGATTTTTTTACAAAAGAACACGAAAATTTGTAGAAATCTTGGGAAAATACAATTAAAGTACAAAGAAGAATTGCCCATTGTTCTTTAAGCCAGAGTTACGTGCTGCTGGTGTTTTTGTAGTTGGTTTGACGTTAGTGTCTCACGTGTTCTGGGATGCTCCGGCTAAAGCCCGAGTGGACAGTCAGCTGTGTCAGGCACCCCGTCTAACCTGCCGCCAGAGGGCCGGGCTCCAGCCTGCTCTCATGATGAACCTGGGCACTGTTTTCTTCTCCTGTCCTGGGGAATTGCATTCTGCCTGCGTCCTTTTGTCACCTGTGATTCCTCAGGCCTACTGTGGTTGTCCAGCACCCCTCACCTGGGGTGGCACTCATCTAATTGTCCCTGCTGTTGGGTGCAGGGCTCTCTCCTCTGCTCCTAACCTGCTGTGGGGGGATCAAGCTTGTGAACAGACTAGGGTGGAGCCCTATGGGTGGGGTGGGCAGGAGGGACCCTGAGGCTGGTACAGGGAGACCTACCCTTCCATGTTGTGTGTCTGGGCCTTCACCTGCTGGGTGTAAGGGAGGGGCCCGAGTCAGGGCTGGTTTCCCTGTGACCTGAGTGGCAAGTAGCCAGAGCAGAGGTGAGCGTTCAAGGAAGAGCCCCCACGAGGTTGGTCTTAGAGAAGGAAGGGAGGACCCAGGCTCACCACTGGACCCCTTGGGAAACCAGGGCCTGGGACTAGAGGGCTCAGCCAGGCCCCGGGGCTCTGGTGTATCAGTGAGTTGGGCCTACAGCCCACTCCTTGACCTCTTGACCAGCTTCCTGTATTCACCCTCCCACCCTTTGCTGTCCCTCCAGACCGCAGCATTCTCCATGATGGACAGGCCTGAGGGTGGTCAGGGATACCCACCCATGCCTTCCTGCCCTGGTTTCCGTCAGAGTTGGGGGTGTCTGGAGACATGGGTGACTTTGGTTCTTAAATGTCTTTTTACCAAATATGTTTCGTTCCTTCTGTTTACTAAATATCAAGATCTAAATGCCTGTTGTTTCTTTCCCAGAGGTTGACCGATATATTCAGGCGTTACGATACGGATCAGGACGGCTGGATTCAGGTGTCATATGAACAGTATCTGTCCATGGTCTTCAGCATCGTATAGCACTGGCCTTTGCAAATAGCAACATGACTTATGGAAGGAAGACTAAAAATGCCAAATCTCCCTTTAAGGAAATGGGACACAGATGCAGCTAGATACTGTTCTTCCTTTAGATTTTATATAATTAACATTTGGGGACCCGACTGTATATACGTGGATAAGCTGATAAGGTTTTTGCAAATGTAACAATAGTTGTAATCATTATTCACATACAGACATTTGATTTGAGACTGTTCAGTTGTGCCATGAGGTAAGATATGATAATGTTTCAGATATCCTGCATGCAAAAAATTCATCATGTGCATTTCTAGATAGCTCCAGGTCTATAGTGGAAATACTTTTATTAGCCATTAGGAATTTAAAAATAATACGGAACCTGCACAGAGGCTTTTATGTGCCTTACATTTTTTAAAACGGGGTTTATTGTATTTGTTTGAATATGCAACATAAGCAATAAAGCAAATGCACCCCCTGTCCCAGTCCGCGTCAGATATACTCACCTGGGAGCTCGCAGGGGTCCAGGACACCTTCTGGGGTGTCCACCTGAGTCTGCTTATGGGAAATCCAAGGATACCGCCATCCTTTGTGACAGGAGTTAGTTTAAATTTCATAAAAACTTCCTTGAACATATAAATCCAGATTTGGTTTAGAAGTGTGTGGGTTTCTGTTATTTACGATGACTGAGTCCTGCCCTGCAATGATCTGTTAATTGTGGCTTTTGAACATGAAAGTGGGGTGCAGGCAGCTGGAGTGGTCGTCCGCGTTGCCTGCTGTTGGCACACAGCCAGTCCCTTCACCCTGTCCCTTGCAGGATCACCTGAGGCTGTTTTCTGCCTCTTTCCTCTCTTCAGCGTGCTTCCCCAAACCAGAATTTGGAGCGGTGGTTGTGAGGACGTTCAGATGGGTGTCCAGTGATTTATAAATGGGTCTGGGACATCTGAAATTGGTGTCCCACAGAGGTCTTGTTGGCCTGTGCTGGTTGGGAGGGGGCCGTTTCTGGGTTTATCTGTGGCATCTGATTAGAAAGGTCAGAACACCACTGATCACAATATGTGGGATTGGGGTAAAGAATCTATGGGACTCATGGACTGGCTTTGTGAGCTAAGTGGGGGATGGCCCATGTGGAGGTGTCTTTGGGGATTTCTACCACTTTCCATGTTGGGTGCCTCTCCAGGCATCAACATGCTCATGATGCAACACCAGCACATGACCCCAAGTTCCATTTTAGTGAGCTCCATCTGACCCCATACCCCAAATTCTGACTCCAAGAGACTTTCAGACCCAAGGCCCACACATTGAGGTCCTCAGGTGGCTTCTCTCTGGGTTCTCATAGACTTCTTGGACTCAGTGTCTCCCAGCTAATAAACCCCATGCCCTCACCCCCAGGCCATGCACCCCCTCTGCTGCCTGCCTGCTCCCCTTCCCTACACTGTGGCTACAAGAGGTGCCTTTAGAAGATGCTGCTCTCATTTCTCCCTTGACCCAGGCCTGCAGAGACCTCAAGCTTGGAGTGAGGGTGGCCCATGTGGCTGCCCATCAGCCTTGCTGTGCTCTGTCCTGTGCACGTGGGAGCCCCTCCCTTCTCCCTGCACCTGGACCCCCTCTTGAGCTGGCCTCAGAGCAGCTCGTGGCCTTGGTGAGGCACCTACCCCCAGTACACAGTTGGTGTTTGAGCTCCACGATGCCACACAGTGGACACTGAGAGACCAACAGGTCTCTTGCTGTGTCAGCCACAGAGAAGGAACTGTATAAATATGTGATGAGCCCTGCACCCCTGATTCCGGAAGGGGAAGGAAAGGTATGCAGAATTTTAACAGAAACGGTCTGATTGGGGATGGGTAAGGGTCTCATGTTCTCTGGTTAGGAAGGAAGGGCTGTTCCTCTAATAAAAGTGTGGGCTTCTCAGTACCTCACAAGCACGGGGAAGAGAAACACAAGTGCATGGTACAGATGCACTCAGGTGTGTGGTATAGATGCACATGGGTGTGATACACTAAGGTATGGTACGAGTAATACTCAAATGCAGAGTACAGACATGCGTAGGTTAGTACAGATGCACGTGAGTGTGGCACAGATATTCTCAGGTGTATGTTACAGATAAACAATGATAGAGATACTCTCAGGTGTGGTATAAACTGGTAGAGATAATCTTATGTCTGGTACACGCATGTAGATGCGGTATAGACAGGTATGGTACAGATACTCGCGTGTGTGGTACAGATACTCAGGTATGGTACAGATGCTAGGGTGTGTGGTATAGATGCACTTAGTCATGTGGTATAGACAGGTATGGTACAGATACTCGGGTGTGTGGTACAGA